TAAATATAGTTCAACCCTGGAAGAAAGACACACACACTTTGTATAACATGACATTTGAATGCTTGATAGGAAATATAAAAAAGGTATAAAAATATGAAATCTAACAACCAAGATCTATCTTTTAATACCAAACAATCTCAAAAACTGCCTTTTCCACCTTTGTAACATCTATAATGTTAGACTTGAATATTGTAACGCCGTTCTACCTGCGTGTCTTAAATAACAACTCACACTTTATTCAGAGCAGCCTGAGTACTGACAGGTACGTACTTCTCCCTGCATTGTAAGTAGCAGAATGCAATGCAACATTTCCATCCTTACATAAAACACTGAACAGCCTAGCTTGAACATTTTAAAGCCACTAATGGTCCTTTACAACCTAAAGCTTGGCTCCGAGCTTCGAGGCCTTCAGTTCTCAGACCGCCCTCCTCTGGAACCAGCTCTCTGCTCCAGAACAAAACACCAACAATCTTCAGCCTTTACAACCAAACTGGGCTTCTATTTTTATTATTAATTATTATTTTTTTATGATCATGGACACTGTTTTAGTGATTAGCTAATGTTACATGTTTTTAAATGTTTTATTGCGTACCATTATGCGCTGATATATATTTGTTTTTATTGTATTTTTATTGCTTTTAAATATATTGTTGTTACATGATTTTTATTGCATTTATTCCTTTTGTTTAATGTTTACATTCTTTTATTTATTATCTTAATTTTGTTTTCCAATGTTAAGCTCTTTGAGTCACTTCTGCATTTAAAAAGTGATATATAAATATAGCTGGGTTGAGTTTGAGCAAATCTTTGTGTCTTGTAAATAAATATTGAGCATTAAGTGGCAAATGTTTTCAGTCCACAGTGTTTAGATACAACATGTTCAACTGACCCCTTCACTTCATGTGTGTACTCTGGGAAATTTTGAGAGAAAATTGGACTGGATTGGCTGAAAGGCAACAAAACTGCCTACGTATAGATGAATTTGCTGTATGAGACGTGTAACAACTGCAGAAATAAGTACAGATTGTTTGAAAAAATATCATAAGATATTGACCTGTCCAAACAGGTCTCACTTGTAAATGAGTCTTCGAGGCTCAATGCGATTTATCTGTTTAAATAAAGGTGGAATGAAAAAAAAAATCATAAAGTTTAGATAGCTCAAAACATAGTGTGTGACATCATCACAATGTAAGATGAAGAGTCAGTATAAAACTTACACTTTAAAAATGTAAAATATCAAAACATAAGTCATTTAGAGACTAATTTTATGTGACCAGTTTAAACTGTGAATAAGAACTCCAGAAAAGTTCAATCTGGTCCTCTGGACATTCAAAAAAAATATATATATAATAATAAT